ATCATATCCACAGATAGCCAGGCTGTTTGAAATAGGGGTTCGGGAAACTATTCGGAGTTAAACTGAAAAACTGAGGACAGGTTGAGAAATCCTACAGTGTTTAAGTGCTCACCTGCAACTGAATAATGGGTAGTTCTACCCATCATCTGCTCTGCTAGAGAAAGGTATAGTAGAAGAAAGACCACAGCATACAGCATGGGAAATCTGATGGACCAATTATTTTTAGTCCTGTGGGTTCACCGAGAGTTGGGATTGTTAAGGCAACATTGGGTTTGGAATGACTACTGTATTTTGAAGTATTGCATGACTTAAGGTGAAACTATATTACTTCACTAAATAGAAATCTGTATGATTAGAAAGAAATTGAACTGTAATTAAGTATATAATGCTTTTCTTAATAATTGAATAGTTAAATTCTGCCTTCTTAAAAAAATGATTTTACTATACTCATTTTGCAAGCCAAGGCCTTGGATCACTCACTAGCTAGCATTTGGGAGGCTCTCAATAAAAGAATGAATGATTGATTGAGTGAGTATAGCTCTGCATTTAAATATAGACTCCTGCTAGGCAAGATTGAGGTAGAAATAAATAAACTTGGTGTCATTTAATTCCTTAGTAAACTGCTGATTTTCCCTTATTATAAATAAACATATGCCTATGAACATGGTTAAATTCATCCTAGAACATCATGGAGTCTGTCTAAATAAAGCAAATGGAGGCTAGAGACAGTCTGGACAATATCCATTGTTACAGAATTAAAATATTTTCTCCACCACAGCACAAAACAAGATCCATTTTATATTCTTAGATTAGGAACAGAAGGTTGTGAAATTCATAACTGACTGGTAAACCATCGGGGAAATTAAAGGCATAAAATCTAAGAAGGGGGAATTTGGTATTGATTGGTCCATAGCATATAAGGGAATTACATAACTGGTCAAGGTCCATAATGCTCCCTTTATGCTAGATTGATCTCAGAACATCAGACAGGACCAGTTTTCCTGACAACCCTTTGAATTACCAAAGAGCACAGATGTCAGTTTAAAGTCTAAGGTGCAGGCTATAGTATTTTTAATTGCTTCATATTCATGTGAAAGTTGGATCATGAGTAAGGAAGACAGAAGAAGAATTGATGCCTTTGGATTATGATATTGGTGAGAGGATTGAATATCCCAAGGACTACCAAAACAAAACAAAAAAACACACAACTCAAATCTGACTTTATGGAACTGCAGGTAGGATTCCCATGGAGGCAGGGGTGTAGAGATCAGAATAGGGCGAGGTTTTGATCTGTTGTTGGAAGGGCTGCTATGAGACATGGCCAACTAGGTTTCACCTAACAACAACAATATTCTTCCTTAATCATGTCTGTTTTTAGAAGTGCATTGTTAAGATTTATTCATAATCTCAAGACCTTTCAGGCACAAGCTATTGCATCTTGTATCTGTTTTTCTGTTGTAATGAAGACTTTTTAGGGCTAGGCTACATATCTTGCATAGGCCAGACTTCAGAGAAAATGTTGTCTTTGTATATGGCTTAAGTCCACAGTAAACTTGAAGGGACTGCCAGTTGGAAAAGCAGCTTTTGAAAATCCAGCATGGATCCCAAACTCATGTCATTACTTTAAAATGGAGCTAAGGCTTCACATTTTAGACTGCCTTATTTACACACAAACCAGGTGTCTCAGATTTTTAAACTTTAATACACAGTGGACCAGCTAAGTTTATCCCTGACAATATGCTTGCTTCCCTATAGAATCTAGTTCTTAGCATTTTTGCCTGGAGCTTAATCTCCAAATTATGGTGAATTAATTTTCGAAATGCTAACAGAGAACTGCCAGAAGTGCAGGCTGAGTTTAGAAGGGGTCGTGGTACTAGGGATATTGTAGCTAATGTTAGATGGATCTTGGCTGAAAGCAGGGAGTATGAGAAGAATGTCTGTTTTTCATTGATTATGCAAAGGCATTTGGCTGTGTGGATCACAACCAACTGTGGCTAACTCTGAGAAGAATGGGAATCCCAGAACACTTGATCATGCTAATGTGAAACCTCTACTTAGACCAGGAAGCAGTTGTCAGAACAGAGCAAGGAGACACTGCATGGCTCAAAATTGGGAAGGGTGTATGCCAGGAATGTGTCCTGTCTCCATACCTTTTCAATCTGTATGCAGAACAGATTATCTGAGAGGCTGGGCTCTATGAGGAGAAATGTGGCATCAGGATTGGAGGAAGATTTATCAACAATCTGCGGTATGCAGATGAGACAACCCTGCTTGCTGAAACTGAGGAGGACTTGAAGTGCTTGCTGCAGAGGTCAAGGACTGCAGCCTTCAGTATGGATTGAGGTTCAATATCAAGAGAATAAAGATTCTCACCACTGGGCCAATTGGCAACATCATGGTAGATGGTGAAGAGATTGAGATTCTTTTTTTTTTTTTTTTGAGATTGAGATTCTTAACAGCTTTAGTTAGCTTGACTCCAGTATGCCAGGAAATTAAAAGACGTATTTCAGTGGGAAAGTCTGCTGTTTAGGGACCTCTTCAAAGTACTGAAGAGCAATGATGTCACTCTGGAGACTAAGGTGTGCCTGATACAGGCCATCGTCTTTGCCGTCAACTTGCTATGAATCAGAGAGCTGGACAGTTACTAGGGGTGACAGAAGGAGAATTGATGCCTTTAAGCTGTCTTGTTGGAGAAGAGTATTGAATATACCATAGATTGCTAAGAGAACGAACAGGCTCCTCCTGGAAAGGGTTAAACCAGGCTGCTCCTAGGAGGCAAGGATTCTGAAGCCTCATCTGAATTATTTTGGACATATTGCAAGGAGGGACCAATCTTTGGAGAGAGGTGCCATGCTTGGGAGGTGGAGGGACAGTGCAGGAGAGGAAGACTGTCTGTGAGGTGGCTTGATTCAGTGAGTGGGGTAATGGGGATAGGTGTGTCAGAGACAGTGAAATTGGCACAGAATAGAGCAGGGTTTAGGGCTGTTATACATAGGTTCGCTATGAGTTGCAGGCGACTTGACGGCACATAACAGCAACAATAGCATTCAAAGGGAATTTTCACTTTTACAATAATTCCCTTTGTTAAGAAATCCTTTGACTGGAATAAATAGTCTTGGAAAATATTTATTAAAGTTGTATGTTCTCCTTAATACCAGAGGACTTGGAAAACACATTTGTCCCCAAAGGTCTGAAATACTAAAAAAACAAAAACAAAAACAAAACCCACCATACTGTTTAGGCTGTTCTGACTCTTCTTGTGTACTGTTGACTAGCAGCCAGCCCATAGCTGACCTAACCAGCAGGTTTCTAGGGGCAGTAAATCACACGGGAGGTGATTGCCCATTTTTCTTCTATGGAGTGGCTCGTGCATTCAGCCTTTGTGTTGGCAGCATGATTTCCTTGTCACCAAACCACCAGAGCTCCCTGTTCTAATTCTTAGCAGTCTCATATACAACAGAAAGAAACACTGCCTCATCCTGTGCAAGCCTTACAGTGAACACTTGATCACATTCTAGATTCATTCAGTATTCTTCTCTAGCATCATAATTAAAACACAACAGATCTTCTATTCATTATCCAGCTCTCACATGTATATAAAGCAATTGCAGATACATACCATGACTTGTATTGGATACATCTTAGTCCTCAAAGTGATATTTTTTCTCTTTAATTCTTTAAAGAAGTCATTGGCAGCAAATGGCTTCATTTTCAGTGAGTTGTTTAATTTCGTCCATGGGTGTTGATTATGGATCCAAGTAAAATTAATTCCTTGACAAGTTTCATATTTTCTTCATTTAGCATCAAGTTGCTTATTGGTATAGTTGTGCTGATTTTTGTTTTCTTGATGTTGAAGTATAATCCTCACTGAAGACTACAGCTTCAAATCCTCTTCATTTTCAACAAGCATTGCTGTGTCCTTTGTCCATGATAAATTGTTAATGTACAACCTATCATGGACAAAGGACACAAGTCCTTTGATTATTAATACAGTCCAGATTTTGGTATCATGTGGTCAGGACATGTTGTTGTTCTATATCGTTGAGTCAGAACCAACCCATAGCTGATTCTTGAGTGGGTTTTCAGAGGCAGTAAATCATGCAGCAGGAGATTGCCCATCTTTCTCCTGTGGAGCAGCTATTTGATTTGAACCAGGTACCCTCATGTTGGCAGTTCAGCACTTTACCACTAGGCCCCCAGAGCTCTCTTCAAATAGAAATTAAATAGTGAAAGAACACAACTTTGATGCACACCTTTCCTTACTGCATAATTTGTTATAATCATGTATCTACCCTTTTGTTCTAAGGTGTAAATGTACCATTGGATAATGTAAATAATGTTGGTTTGTTTGGTTAAGACAATATGACAGCATGTCCTCAAGATGCTCCAGGATAGGAAAGGTTTAAAATACAGCATGATTTTACTTTCACATTAGAGAGGTAAAACTTGCTTCATCCAGAAATTTTTTGGATACAAGAAATTAAAAAAGGGGGAAGTTGTCACTAATCAGGAAGGATTTTTTTAATGTCAAGTTTTTTCTTTCACTTCTATTTCAGAGTAAGCCTCTGAACCATGGAGAAAGAATTTCTCCATAAATACATATGACAAGCAAGGTATTTACATGAAAAAAATATATTTTAGCTTTTCTTACTACCACTTCTAACAAAGAATTTCATTGGCAATGTACATAAAAAAAGATCAGTTATGCGCTGTTATATTAATCATATACATTTCCATGTTTCTAAATAATAATTTTACTCCTGTTACTCAGTTTTTCTCCCCGAAAGTGAGGGAATAGATGAAGATAGGAGCATTGTGTTATGTCTGATCATAGTTTGACTAGCACAGTCTGAAAGTGGGCTGTGCAAGATGCAGAGAGCGGGGCCTAATTGCTCTCCCTGCATCAGCAGCATCTATAAAGCATCCTGGGAATTGCTTGCCCTACGTTCAGAGCAGCTGGTCACATGAGCCTGAATTTTCAGTTCAGTTCATTAGTCAGCCATTTTGGTCAACACCCTGCTTACTGCGCACAACCAATCCTATTAGAACTCAGCATCCTGGCTTATCTGAGCAGATCCTGGAAGTGATTTCTGCAGCTCAGGAATTTTTTAAAGCTAAATTGAAAATACAGGTTTATTTTATGGGATTTTTCCCCTTTGCATTTCATTTTTCTGCACAAAGAAGGAGGATTTTTTCTTTTCACTTGTTCATGCAGAAGCCAGTTTTCTGAAGCCAGCTAAGGCAGCATCGGCTGTGCAGGATTTAAAGCTTCTAGTTCCGCTGAATAAGGGTAGGAAAGGGACAATAAAAGGAAAGGAAGCTGGGAGAAGACAAACATCATTTTTATTTTGCTATGTGGTAGGAACTGTGTATGAGGAAAGAAAATATAGAACTGTTTATCTTGATCAGTTGCTTCTTAAGCCAAAAGAGAAATTTTTTGGCTTTATTCGTGGTGGTTGTTTTATACAAACCTCTCCCAACCCTAACGCTTTGTTTCAGAGCTTTGGGCTTGAAATTTTTTTAGTGAGGTTTTCTTTCTTTCTGTGGGGGGAAGTGTGGTGTGTGTTTGTGTATAGTGTGTAGCTTGTGTGTGTTGTGGTCCCAGCTGAGTCATCATGTCTGCTCTGACGCCTCCGACCGATATGCCAACTCCCACCACTGACAAGATCACACAGGCTGCCATGGAGACCATCTACCTTTGCAAATTCCGAGTGTCCATGGATGGAGAATGGCTCTGCCTTCGAGAACTGGATGACATCTCACTTACACCTGACCCAGAACCTACCCATGAAGGTATGGTCAGATCTCATCTCACAGCATCTTCATTGTTACAGGAGACTGGGAGGGTCAGGGAAAGGTAGGAGAAACCTGTAAACTATTACTGCTCCTGAAACCTTTCATCCTTAACTACCACCCAACTTCCCCTTTCTGATTTCCTGGGGAAACATTTTCTTTTGCCCTGCTCCCTGAGTTATCCTTTGAAAAGATGCTGGTGCTCATTTAGACTTCTTTGTTTTTAATCCTCTAATGAGAACAGTTGAAGTTGCTTATCACATGTGCTCATAAGCACTAATGAAAAAGCTGTGAATTTTGTTCACATATTAAAATATTGTATAAATTTTAATGATTCTAAGACAAAGTTAAAAGACAGTGTGATTATATTTCTGGAATTGTATACAGTAAATACAGTAGAAATGCTATAAGAGTACCCTTTGATCAAAAATTTAATATTAAGTTGGCTACAATCTCCAGAAAATATA